CCCGAAACCACACCGACCGGGTAGCGTTTGGTCCAGTGGGAAGTGTTGCCTAATGTTATCCCCACCCGGGGGCCTTAAGCATTACACCCTCCGCGGCTGACCAACGCTGCCCATTAACACCGTTTGCGTGCTCTGCGCCCCACTCCACACTCAGATGGACAGGGAGAGATGTGCTGATAGGGTTGCTTTGGATCCCGATGCCAGTGATCCCATAAGCGTTGAAGCAACCTTAGGTGGTTGCTTTAGGATCAAGGTTGGGGGTATATACATTGTATCACTAAGATCGATGATACTCCGCCTCACCCCAAAAGCGTGGCTCACAGAGTCATACAGATGGAAGACTATGAAGAACCACCCGGAGTACCGGCTGTATCTGACGTGAGCGAACTGCGTCTCCTTTCACTTTAAATATGTGAAAGGGAGCGTGTTCGACTGTGCGTCTCATGACAGGGTCGGTTCCCTCTGGGGACGCCCGTGGGTCAGTAAGAAAGGAGTCAAAACCCACAGCGGGGACCGGACACAAGGATAAATTCGTTACCGTTGTACCATTACCGCGTGACGAAACCTAGCTGGCTGAAAGTTGGGGGCTCAACGTGTGCCCTTCCCTGAAAGCCCTGCCCCGAGATCGGAGACTTGGCACCCAGTTGGAATTCAGTACCCGAGGCTCCAGAGAAGGCCCGGTGCAATTAGCTAGAGCCTTGGCCTCCCCCCAAAATAGTGGGAGAGCCATGACTGAGAACGGGGGTTCCCCGGAAAAGACGTGTTTGAATGCAAACATGCTTTCATGTCTCTTCCTGCTTGCCCACCGAGGGGACACAGTGGAAACAGCTTGCTCCAACTGCGTCTGATCTACCCAGCCTGCCAGGAACGCAATTGCCCCGACAGTCCTTCGACCAAATCCCTCAACTCGGAGGCAAACCCGGCGCCGTGCGAGGAAGGGTCCACAAAGAGACCTGCAACGGGCCCCATAGGAGGAAAGCCTCCAGGGGCACAGCCTCGCTGCAGCCGGTAAAATCGGGTAAAAAAACACCTGAAAAAAACAGACTGTGAGGATGCCCTCCAATCAGTGGGGGAGACTGAGAAAAATATTGGTACCTCCACCGTCGGACCTCTTACTCGACGTCCCGGTACACGAAATACTGGTAGCCAAGCGTGAGGACTTTCCACTCATGCAAAACACGCAACTCACTTTAACCGATTTGTTTACTGGACCTTGCTGTGACGAGGTCAGTCTCAGCGATTTTGATGGCTCTGAAAGAAAATCTCAGGCCTCAGAACTCCAGTAAAAAAAAAAACTTTCACACAAAAACCCCGAACCCCGCACGTAGCTACGACAAAGTATCTCGGATGCGGGTTCTATGCTGGTAAATTCTGAATATAACCACTGCACGGTGGACTCGAAACACGAGGAGACTGAAAAGAAAATGGCAGTGAGCCCTGGTGCTATCATAACATCTATATATTGCTAAATACATTGTAAATAAAAGACGACATGCATGAGGGAAACTAATTACAGTTGTAAAAGGTGCCGCCATGAAAACCAACTGGTTACGTAGTGGCGCCGGATTTTAATTTCTTTGTTGTGAAAAATACTACACACAAAATGGGAAAACGACACAAGGGTAAAAATGACAAGGAAAACTTATCCTACCAGCTACAATGTCAGATGCCGTGCAGCGGCAACAACCCAAGCTATAAACCCGGACAGGAAAAAAAAAGCAGGTGATCCAGCAGAGCTCGCTCGATTTCATCTCCACTCGAGGTGGAGAGAAAATCAGAGTGATGGACGGCTACCTGTGGCGCTGCCAGGTGGCCTCGGTCACGTGGGTTCGTGACGTAAGGGGTAAATGAATCTTGAAGTCATGGGGCTTCGCCTGACCTGGATTCTATCTCTCCGTCACCGGCAGAATCGCTGATTAATGCCTACAGTTCAAAATAGTTATTTTGACTGACCGGAATCTATGGTGGGTAATTGAACGTAGTGAATTTACCAATGTTTAAGAACGTTCTGTTGCCGTTGATTTTCGGTATCCTGATCGCATAAACCATAGAAGAGCTTACATATAAACCAACATTACCTTGTTTCTTTTGTGGGGGTTCATCTTCCTTGCTTTTCTGAATATCACCATTGCAAGCGGTAACCTTCTCTGGTGCCTATAACAATGACACCATGATTTCAAACCGATGAAAAGGAGAAATTTACAACATGATACAATGTATGGTCAGTTGAATGAATAAACATGGTTTATTCGGGCAAAAGGCAAACTTTTTTTTATATTTCGCTTAAAGGACAGTAGTCGTCGTGCTGCGCATGTGCGATATTTGTGTTGATAAACATTGATTTTCCCACAATTCAGTGCGCTCTTCTTATGGAAATCTCAGGCATGATGTTTGGCCTGGGCGTGATTTGCACTAATTACTGCTGGTGACTCCTTAGTTACCTTCAATCACCTGAAAAAATACCTAATTAGAGCTTGGTAACGTACTCAGTTTGTACTCGTTGATCTGCGCAACAGTCAAAGTCGCCATCTTTGTTTATATGAGACCCATATATCTCGCACATGCGTGGCGCAACAACTACCGCCTTTTAATTAATATATGAAATGAAAATCATAATATTTTAATTGTAGCAGTGAAAATTTCTTTGGAGTCTTACGACAAGAAGTTTCAGCAACTTCCACAAACATTTTGTGATCACAAATGAAATAAAATCACGAAAATTAACCGGTTTACAGTCTTACCATCCCAGCGTACTCAATCACTGACGTTTTCGTATTAAATCCCAAAGTAGGGATGTTCATTTGCAGCTACAAACTCTACACCTGCATTCAATCGAGAAGAAATTGTTCACATCAAATCTCTCATGAATACAATTTTAATTACTTTAAATACAGTGATTAACAAGTCACGTCATGACATAGTTTCAATTCGGCATCTAGCCAGCCACCTGTCTACCTGAGTGTCATTTTAAACAGGTACAAAAATTCAGCAAAATCTTTACAAACCTGTCCGTTCAATTTTGATTGAAAATATTACTATATTATTAAAATAAGCAAAATTAATCAACAACAAATCGCTTGCAAGGTTGTGGTTACAGATTACGGACTGCTAATCTTACATTTTGATAAAGATTTCAGTCGGATAAATTTCATTAAACAGGAATAAATATTTAGATGGATAAATTTCATTAAATACCTGGTAGGCAAAAATATTTACAAACCTTTCAATTTTCATTAAAATTTTCTGCAAATTACGAAATAACCATAAAAACCCATAATATCCAATGTATGTATACGACACTGAGATCTGGTTTAGGAATGCAAAAAATTACAGCGATGAATTTTCGGCAGAAAATGGCCACCATTTGGCCATCTTGAATCAAAGCGAAATGAATAAACATGCATATTTAATCCCGAAATGATGATGTCACTACTGAAGACATGAATTTTTAAACTTACCAAATATTGTTTAGACCCTGATTGCTTCATCTGGACTGGTGGTTTTGATGTATTAGTTTTCTTTGCATCTAATATTGACAATGGTTGCTCTGCATGTGAGTGTCCATGTATAGAATGTGAATGGTGTCCATGCTCCTCATCACATACTTCCTACAGGTAGATAGTAATTTAACAAATACTGTAAAAAAACTTTATTTTCGCTTGGAAATAATTTTAGCTATTTTCACTGAAGAATGATTTATTCGATTGTACATAAAATAAATAGTAGAAAAAAAAGGGAAAAAAAAACGGTTTTGTTTTATTTCCTTATTTTTTTTATACCAAACAATATGCTAATTAGTATTCAAATTAGCCGCTACTTTATGGAAAATTTCTGGAGAGAACACTGGACCATGTTAAGAATGAAGAACTACTGTAAAATCTGTATTAGAAACCGCTGCTTCTATTAAAATGGTACAATAAACTAGATGTGGCTTCTATTAGATCATCTACACACATGAGAAATCATGAATATTTGGTTCTCAATTATTCAAAAAAATTTGAAATACAAATTTGAAATACAAATCTGGACAGTTTACAGAAATTGATTAAATTGAAAGACACTTACATCAATTTTGTGTAATTTTGTTATACAGATAGTAGAAATCTTCTCAAAAAGAAAGAATGCATACACCGAAACCATGACAACCACACTTTTCCATATATGGTTAGTCGCTTCACTCTCACTTTCATGACTACTTGCACCATGGGAGGAGTGAGAGTGAAGACCATACGCCTGAAACAAACAAGAAACAAACCAGAATGAAAACAAAAATGAAACAAGAATGAAAACAAGAATGAAAACAAGTCATTGAACAAGATACAGTCTCTGTCGGTATTATCAACAATGTTTGAAAAGTCTTACAATTCTTCCATATAACAAGAAACAATTATACTTTACAAGGAAAATAATGAAAACACATAAATTATAAATTAACCTTATTAGACTACCAAGGTCTGCATGGTTATTTAGATTTTTCTTATTGCTGCATATGATAAAGTCTCTGTTGTTGAAAGAAACAATAATTCCTTTTATATT